TTTAGTCAGGGAAATCTATATATATGCACTTGAGAATTATTTTGAGTTGTGGTTGCTGTTAAACATCTGCAAGGATGTTTTTGGGAAGTACACGGCAATAGGTTTAATATGTATTTTGTGTAAAAGGAGTAATCCAGGTTCAGCGCAAGTTATACTACCACATCTGTCACATGTGACCGTTTACCAAAGGCAATTTGGATTTGTCATCCAATTTGTGAAACTAAATTAAAACCATCTTTACATCTATTAACAGTGAGTCAATAATGACGTTTACATGGACACCAATAATCCGATCTTAATATGATTAAGACAATACGCTGATTAAGAGTTTACAATGTAAACAGCGATTTTTGATTAATTTAATATGATTAAGTTCATAATCGAATAAACAATGATCAAATTAAGACATGTGTAGTTGATTTTAGCATTATTTAAGTTTAGTACAGACATGTAAATACTTTAATCAAACTATTGCCGTAATTTAGGACGTTTCGCCGCATTTTGGGACAGGATAATCTATACACAGATGACTGTTTGACACTATTCACTGCACCTACCGAATCAGTGGAACACAGACTTCTGCATCATGAAATGCAGAGTTTTTCCCCATACGGCGTGCTGTATCAAATTCTATTAAAACAACACTCTTCCAGCAGTTCATACTCGCATATCTCGTTTGTCAGGGGGGCATGCATGAAATGTTTCCTAATGAAAGTAAAACTGTCAAACTGCAGTTAAAGTCGACAAATTAAAAATGAAACACCCGAAATTACATGAAACTCCGGAGGAAATGTGGATAGTGTTGTGACGCAATGACGTTAATTGAACTACGTGCTATAACATGTAATATGGGATCATAATGGGAAAATTCAAAACGCAACTCATGTAAACACCTTAATCATATGTCAGATTCAGATTAAGGCTAATTATTCAATTACTGATGTCCATGTAAACGTAGCCAGTGAAACAAGGAACTGGCATTAAAATAGCATTCATTTATTTATTGTTTTTCTTGTGTTGAATCTGGAACAGTCCTTTAGAAGCGCTCCACTTTTTTGGGTTAACAATCTCCCTATAGTTAAACAGTTGAGTTTTTTTACCATTTTTGAATCCCTTCGGCTGATTTCCGTCTCTGGTGGGAGCACTTTTAGCTTAGCATAAATCATTTAATTAAATTAAATCATTAGCATCTTGTTCAATAAAAAAAAAAAAGTGTTATATTTACCATTTAAAGCTTGACTGTATATTGACCTAGAAAATTTTCAACTTTTCATTTTCCGTCAGTCTTAGTATATGATGTTACTACAGAAGTCAAGCTTTAAATAGGACAAATGTGTAAAACAAATTGTTGCTCTTTTGTTTTTTGTGGGATGCTAATGGTCTAATCTGATTCAATGATTTATGCTAAGCTAAAAGACCCTCAGATCCAGTAAGAAAACTGTACACTTTTTATTTAAATATGAGAGTGACTGTATCAGATATTTTTCAGTCCTATTATTAAAGTATTACTGTTTTTATTTTTATTTAACTTTTTTTGGGGGGTGGATCTTGGATTTGTTGTATATAGCTTAAAATCTAAATTTTACAGAAAAAAATAAAGATCCGAATGTTGGCTGTATGGATTAAAAAAAATGGGAAAAAAAACTTGACTGTTTAGCTTTAGGAGACTTGTAAAATGAGCCTATTCCAAAAATAAAAGTGGAGTGTTGCTTTAAGATGTGTATGTTTAGATAACAATGCATCCATGTGTTGCTTTAAGTGACTTATGCAGGACTGATGAATGGAATGTATTCTTTTTTTGCCAAAATCAATCACTTTAATAATGTCCTACAGGCTGCAAATGTTCTGAATTCTTCCCATGTTTATGTGTAATTGAATATTTTATATGTAAACACTTACTTTAATCATTGGATATTGCTTATTTTTATCAGACTACCAGTTTTAATCGTGCTTCCCTTTGTGCCAAATTACAAATGGCTTCTCTGTGCTTTGTAAAATGTGTCTGGCCATGTGCCACGGCCAGTACATCTGCTGTTTACAAGTTAGCACTGCTTGAGCTTTCATGCTCTGAAGAGCTGCCCATCACAAGAACTTTATATAGAAAGAATAACCTTCGCCAGGCTACAGAAAAGGTCCCAATCTCGATTGGAGATGCCGAATGGGTCCATTTACAAGGATGTTTGCGGCTCTGTGAGTCTAATTTTGCGTAGTTTGCTTCAAAATGCTCGTTATAATCATGTTGGATAAATAGAAACTGGAGAAAGATTTTAGGTTAGATGGAGAGAGTTCAGATAGTCATTGATAGAATTTAAGGATAGGCTTTAGTTTGATCAAATTAGGAGTGTGATCATTGGCTTTAATTAGGGCTGCATGATTATTATAAAATAAAAAATTGGTTAATTTATCTGTTACTACTGTACTTGCCCCTGAATTTTATTACACAAGAAAAAAAGAAAAGAGTATACAATCGAAATGCTGCACTAGACACTTGTCATAAGCAGTTGTGACAGATTTGGGATTATTTTTGCAGCCCTTAAAGATCAGTTGTAGGTTTGGAATGATAGACTCCATTGGTGAATGTTTATGTAATGAATATGTAGTTAAGGATTGGGTTGGGGAAACATATTTTAGTCTTCATTAATGATGAATTTATTGAGTTTTTATGCTCAAAGAATCATATTTTAGCTACACAATATGCAGTTTTTTATGCTTCTTTTTTAATATTCACATTTTATTTATATTATTTCAATAGTTTTATTTAGTATTTTAAAAAGTAATATTTTATTCAGATCAAAAAAGATTTCTTAGCTCTACCTTATTTTACTTATTAAAAAACATGTTCAATGAACATAAATGTGAATTTAGTCTAAAACTAAAAGGCATTTTGAAGGGAACAGTTTTGATTTGGAAGTTGCTAAAATTGAAATCCAAAAACACATTTCTTGCTAAGTTTAAAAAGATAATAATACATTAAGTGAAACTTAGAAGAAAATTAGCAGATTGCCCATGTTGCTCTTTTCCATGTATGTTTTATTACATTTTTAAAGTGAATGGCAACTAAATTCCATTAGTTTCATGAAACAAAGTTGCCGTATAGTTTTAGCACCTGAATTTACTTCAGAATTTCTCATTTCATGTTATTTGAGTTGGGAATGACTCGGATATTTAATTTCTAATTAGTTTATTTGGCAGACAGGTCAAACATAGTCGATTTTACCGTGTCACGCTAACTGATATTGTTTACCTTCACATTGCAAACTCAGTTGAATACGTTTACATTTTAATATTACTTTAATGTTATTTATGTGTGAGCACATTGATGAAAGTGTCAACAATTAAGCCTGTTGCGATTTTTATTTTTGTCGTACGATATATATTGCGATTAAACAAAATTATTGACTATTTTATGCCACTAAATATATAATGCCAGATCGATAATATATTATAAATACAGTGCTAGTACACTCTTCCAAAGAACACATATTTTATTTTTATTAAGAATTATGCATTTAATTATATTTTAACAATTTAATAATTAGGCACTGGAATCAGTATGGTAAAACGTATATATCCTAAACAAATAGATAATAATAAATGTTAACAAAAAAGGTGCAGGGTAAAAAGTAATATTTGTATAAGAAGTGTGATATCTGCTTCCAGATCTATTTAAGTTGTTAGAAACCCACATGAAAATTTACTATAGTAATTTATAGTAAATACTGTAATTTTTTTATACCATACTGACACTAGCTACGTTTCCATCCACCTATGTTTATGTGTATTTTCAATATAGATTTTATATGTATATAAAAAAACGGTTAATGGAAACACCAAGATGCACATAAATTTTGAAAATACGCATAAAAAACATATGCGCATAACTGAGTAAGATAAACTTAAGCATAAACTACGATGGAAACACTTCTACCGTACAAATTCCTGTATGCGCATTAAAAAAAGGTCATGTAATTTTGTTATAAGAGATCATGTAATGATAAAAATATGTGCAAGTGGATAAATCAGCAGGCTGATCACACTGTAAAGCACCTGAAATGTTGTTTTGGTCATTCTAAAATGCCATAATCGGTACATATAATACAGTATTTGGCCATATAATACAGTATTAGTGTTATTATTAATGACTTCCAGAATCAAGAGCATCTGTGCTCTGCATCTCATGCCTTCAAATGCCACCTCGCGTTCACTGCGTGTCAGGATTGCCTTCTGAGGTGCAAGTCATTTAATAAATGAAAAAAAGATTCACACAGCCTCACTTACCACAGCAAAATCCATATTTACTGTTGATATTTGGCGCCAGATAGTTAATAAGTTGACTCGTTAGATGGAAACGCTGCTTTATTCACACATCTTTTATGTGGTAATCTAGTTTTGCGCATAAAGTTAATTCACATTTTTGGATGGAAACTTAGCTACTGACCACTCCAATAGATATATATTTTGCGATATAAATTGCATCACCAAAAATGATTGAGGTCATGTTCATGTGTTGAACGATATATTGATTATTGTGACAGGCCTATCATCAATTCATATGTATAAAACATTTGAAAATGCACTGTTCGAATCTCAAAAAGAGGGCAGATGGTCAAAAGTAATTATTATACAGCCGATGTAGCCTGCTAATCTTATTTCTTTCTCTTTTGTCACATTTCTGTCAAATGATTTGCTTCAGAGCTTTGACTGCATCTATGCTACCCAAAAAATGCAGGACTTTTAGTGAGCCTCTTTGCTTATAGCAATGCTGCGTTAGCATTTTCAGCTTGTTTTAGCTGTGTTATGACATTGTTTGCTTGTTTGTTTGTTTACGCTTTTTTTATTTTTGAATGGTGACTGGCTTCCGCCACCCTCATACCCTGTTCACCGATGATACTCATGCTCATTACACTGCTGAAATGTCTTTTGTGGCTGTGCTAATTTTTGCCTGTGGTTTTTCTAAACATGGCTTCATGTTCTGTTTGTTTTCACTCACTCAATCCCAGCGAGGGCTGCCGTCGCGAGAATACCACGAAGAACGTTGGATGTCGCAAGTATGCCTTTAACTGTCTGCAGCTGAAGGCTTTTCCTAAACATTACAGACCTCCTGATGGCACTTTCGGAAAAGTGGAGACTTGATGAGACTGACATGATACGGAAATATTAGTAATTATGAAGCTTCTTCAAACTAAGTACAGTAAATCTGCTCAATTTGCTCTGAAGATAATCGCATATTTACACTTCAGGCGTGCGTTTGAAGTGAAAATGCTGACTGCACTGAATTGTATCAATAGATACAGTTCTATTTCATAAGCTCAGTATCACCAAACATATTTATTACATGTAATGCTGTATTTTAGCGTATTGTAGTTCACGGTGAAGGATTTAATCACTGTCAATATTGTATTTAGCAATCTTGGCCCTTTAGAGTGCAAATAGAGGGTTTAGACCTTTATGCTGAATATAATCATGCAGTATTGACTATCTATTGCAAAGATTTGTGTTTAGTATCCTAAAGAAATAGTTCACCCAACTATGAAAAATTGCTGGTTATTTATCCAGGTCATCTAAGATTTTTTGGGAGGATTTTTCTGTATCTAAAGCATACAACTTGATCATTTTAAAGCCCTTTTTCTGAAAATGACTGATTTGTTTTGCTAGAGAAGAGTCTTATTTGTTGGCTGAGCTCATGTGAATTACTTTACAGCTGCCTAAATGTGGGTTTTAGACATTCAAATAAATGGTCTAATTACAGTCTACTTAAAGTGCATCTGGAAAGTATTCATAGCGCTTCACTTTTTCCACATTTTTTAATGTTACAGCCTTATTCTAAAATGGATTAAATTCATGTATTTCCTCAAAATTCTACATAAAATACAACATAATGACAATTTGAAAAAAAGATTTTTTTAAATTGTTGCAAATTTATTAAAAATAAAACCTGGAAAATTACATGTACATAAGTATTCACAGCCTTTGCTCAATACTTTGTTGATGCACCTTTGGCAGCATTACAGCCTCTAGTCTTTTTGAATATGATGCCACAAGCTTGGCACGCCTGTCTTTGGAAACTTTTGCCCATTTCTCTTTGCAGTACCTCTCAAGCTTTATTAAGTTGAATGGGAAGTGACGGTCTACAGCCATTTTCAGATCTCTCCAGAATTGTTCAATAGGATTTAGGTCTGGGCTCTGGCTGGGCCACTCAAGGACATTTACCGAGTTGTTGTGAAGCCACTCCATTGATATTTTGGTGGTGTGCTTTGGGTCATTGTCCTGATGGAATTATAAAAATTAAGTCACCTTAACAATTCAAGGTTACAATAGCTTTACACACTTTTTTAAGGAAAGTCAACTTGTCACTTTTAAGGCAACAAATTTGCTTACTTTTTTTTAAAGTAAATTAATCAATCACTTTTTTATAGTATTTGGATGGCCTGGGAATGAGGAAATACTCCAGAATTTTTCCAGTTTGGGGTAATTATTTCTTTATGCAACATCTTCAGCATTACAGTATCATAGCTTAAAGTTCTCACAGTACTCCACAGTTTTCAAGTGTCATTTCCCATTCCTCCTATAGATCAGCGGAGGAAATTTTAGGGGAAATAAACCAGGTCTTTTAACCATAGGATTGTATGATTTATTAATTTACTTAAAGGGTTAGTTCACTCAGAAATTAAAATGATGTTATTATTTGTGTCTTTCTAAACTTCAGAACACAAGTTCACAATCCGAGAGCAAAAGCAAAGTTTCTGACTCTTTCAAAGTCCAGAAAAATGCCAAAAAAAACAACAACTTTGAAACAGTGTCTTGAGTCGTATAATTTTAATATTTATATCAAGCTTTAAGAATACTTTTGATGATGATGATGCTGATGATGATGATAATGTTAAAAAGCCTTTATGTGTCACATACACTTTTACATGTAGTGAATTTGGACCCCTTCCTGACCATACACAAACATCATAGATTTCAGGGGAAGACAGGTCAAACGAGAGGTAGCTTTAAGAAAGAATCTTATTTCCTATAAGATACATTAGAAAACAGGAAGGTGAAAAAAGCCCCTCTCAGACTATCCTTGAAGTAGGGGAAGTGTGAGATCAGGGAGGAAAAAGCCCCAGCATCAAGTACATAAACACATAGATATTAGGCATAACATCACAACTGGGGATGTGTACACACGTAAAAGCAAAAACAATGGCATCATTCAAATTCTTCTTCTTCTCAATGTCAGTATAGGGTGCGCACATTTATGTGTTTAGAATGGCATGAAGGCAAGTACTTAATAAGATCATTTTCATTTTTAAGTCAACAACCCTTTAAACTTCATACATAATTTTTGTAATGATCATGAATGCTCCATCCTCTTGGTTGTTTCAGCTCTGAGGTTGTCTATCATGAAAACAACCACATTTACAAGTAAATAAAATGACCAAGACCAAGATAGAAATTGCTAAAAGTAAAGTGAGATCAGTGTATCACTGTGTTCAGCTGGCAGCAACAACTCATTTTGTGCTGTACTTGTTTTAACCATAGGTACATTCAGATACATTGAGAGAAAACCGAACAGTGCTAACTGCTAAGCACTGGTGAAATTGACTGTGAAATGTGAATCTGTTGTGCAAATTATTCGTCAAAGGTTATTCGTTTCGTCATTTCTCGTTTTTGACACTGATGTTGTTTCGATTATTATAGGTTTATACAATGTTATTTAAGAGAGATACACTCACAGATTTTTGGATTGTTCTTGATTTGTATTTATTTCTTTTTATGGTAATGACCTTGTATCTTTTATGATGCCCTCTTAGATATATTATGTCTGTCTAGAACAGAGTTCTGCTGTATTCAAATGCTGTCATCAATATCTGATGCCATTAAAGAGAGAATATAAGAACAGTGACAACTGTGTTCTTTTATTATGATCAATCTTACCTTTTTGTGTTTGTCTTGCCATTTTATGTTGTTCTTGTGATGGTTCAGGTACATCTATTATAAGGTAATCAAAGCACATGTGTTAGTATGTGTGTACCTTGTTTTAGTTAGTTAGTTAGTTAGTTAGTTAACTTTATTTGTTTCCGTAGGGAAATTTTATTTGCAGTATACACTCACAGAGACATCTGACATTTCAGTTTTGTCATTTATATAAATAAATCATATAAAAACATAGTACCACTACTCTAAATAAATGTCTAGTCTATTAGCCATCAACTGCTACTGAGAGAGGTATATTTTCTTGAGGTATAAATGATCCTTACACATCTGGGAACACAATATTGACGATCTGATGGTAACAATTGGAAGGTGTATGATAAAGGATGCCTCTCATCATTGACAATCATGATCATTGATTGACAATCTCTCATCATTGACAATCAGCCATATTTAGTACTCTTTATTTGTATATACTCTCAATGTTTTTTTTTAGTTTTATTCCCCAGTCTTACTGTTGTTACCGCATTCCCCAGTGACCTCTTCTGGGCCTCAGCATTTCCATACCAACAGATTACACAAAATGTTGCAATACTTTTGATAAAAGCACTATAAAACATGATCAACAATGTATTGTCAACATTTAAAAGACAATAGTTTCTTTAAGAAGTACATTCTCTGTTGAAGCTTTTTCCTAATAGGTTTAGTCTATACATCCCACTTAAGTTTATTGTCCAACATCACACCCAAATATTTATAATTTGTTACTAACTGAATATGCTAGTAGCAAATTATAAATATTTGGGTGTGATCTGTGATGTGATGTAATGTAATGATAGAGATCAAATGTCCCCACAAGTATAGCAATATCAGATTTTTTTTAAAGATATTTTTCAGCATGAGAGAAAACGCCTCATAAATCACAGAGAATGAAGTATTTCGAAAATGTAAAATGCTGACTGATTCCTGTGAGGGTTGGGTTTGGATGTGTAGGGTAGAGGATATGATATAGAGTTTGTATAGTATTAAAAAATAATAAAGATAGCTAGCTGTGCATGTGTTTGTGAGTTTACGAGTGCATGATTTATGTGGTATACGAAGACACACAGTTGTATAATGACAATGGGCTAGATATAACAATGTTGATGTGGTTTATGAGGACATTTCTACCCAAAAATAAAAGGTTTATCCTTAACTCATCCTTCACTTGTTTAAAACCTATTTGAGTTTCTTTCTTCTCTTGAACACAAAATAAGATATTTAGAAAAATGCTGGTTGCCCATTGACCTACTGTATGTTGTGATCTATTTCCTACTAGGGAAATCGATGGGTCCCAGCAACCAGATTTCTTCAAAATATCTTTTATTTGTTCAACAGAATACAGCAACAAACATATGCTTAATATTTAACACTTAAGGATCAGTTCATTACGTGCTGATAATCTAAATCAGGTGTATTAAGCAATGAAGACGTACAAAATGTGCAGGGGGTGGCTGAGGATCGAAATTGAGAAGATGCACTGTCATAAAGACAGCTGTTTATGCGTCTGTGTTTGTGTATGATGCACACTGATTTGGGTGGTTTATGAGGACACAATTTTGTAAATTGACAATGGGCGTGACCTAGCTATTACAATGTTGTTGTGGTTTACGAGGACCCAAAAATGAAAGCTTTATCGTTTACTCTCTTCTCACTTGTTCAAAACATATTTGAGTTGTTCTTCTGTTGAACACAAAAGAAGATATTTAGAAAAATGCTGGTTGCTGGGACCTATTGACCTACATAGTAATCTATTTCGTACTTGGAAAGTCGATATGTACCAGCAACCAGCTTTCTTTAATATATATACCCAGCAAGTTTTTAAGCAGCGGATGCCCTTCCAGCCGCAACCCATCTCTGGGAAACGTCCACACACACATTTACACACTAGGGACAATTTAGCCTACCCAATTCATCTGTACCGCATGTCTTTGGACTGTGGGGGAAGCCGGAGCACTCTGAGGAAACCCACGCGAAGGCAGGAAGAACATGCAAACTTATACATATATATATATATATATATATATATATATATATATATATATATATATATATATATATATATATATATATATATATATATCGCTGGGTCGCTGGTTCGAACCTCGGCTCAGTTGCCGTTTCTGTGTATATTTGTTCAACAGAACACAGATACAAAACATAAAATCACACTTAATATTTGACACACAAAGCTCAGTTCATGGATCTGATGGAAGCTGATGATCTTCCTTAAGTGTCAAGTAAGGAAGTGTCAAGTAAGGAAGTCTTGCAAGGGGACCGAGGACCGGAATTGAAAACCACTGTCATAAAGACAGCTGTTTATGTGAGTGTGTTTGACGCACTCTGATTTGGGTGGTTTACGAGGACACAAACTTGTATAATGAAATGGGCTATTACAATGTTGATGTGGTTTATGAGGACATTCACCCAAGAATAAAAGCTATCATTTACTCTCCTTTCATTTGTTCAGAATCTATTTGAGTTTCTTTTTTCTGTTGAACACAAAAGAAGATCATTTTTAAAATGCTGGTTGTTGTGACCAATTGACCTAAATGGACATGGTAATCCATTTCCTACTAGGGAAATCGATGGGTCCCAGCAATCAGATTTCTTCAAAATACCTTTTATTTAGTCAACAGAAGACAGAAACAAAACTTAATTCATACTTGATGGGGTCTTCTGACGTTCAAAGTTTGCCATGGGGTTTCTCTGATGGTTGGGGTTCAGGATAAGGGTAAGAGAAAGGTGATGTAACAAGCAGTTTTTACAGCATAAAATACAATACGCCTATTAAGAGTCCTCATATACCACCAAAAACCAATGTGTGTGAGTGAAACTAATGTTTTGTTTCCTTAAAAGCCCACCAGACATAACTAAACACAGCACAATTTAAATATGTGTTCAAATATATATTTTTTTAAATATGTCACTTGGTTATCTATTATGTTTGTTTGTTTGTTTGTTTGTTTGTTTGGAAAGCCTGTGAATACCAGATTCTTCATTCCCCTCTGCCATTAGGGCATCGAACTCCTAAGTGGACTAGGCTGACCTAATTTATCTTAAAGATGTCCGGACAGTTATTATTGCAACTTGTTTGTTCACCCATCTCTTGCCACACAGTTATTTTAACTTCTGCTGTATGAATGATTTATTTGCACTACAGTTATTATACTTTTTTTACACAAAAGGTTGATCCTACTGGCAGATTTTTGCAGTCAACATTGCACTACATGCAGTTTTAGATAGTCTATAATAGATGTAGATATTCTATATGTCTATATTACATAGTCCATCCACACTTCTATTTACACATAGTTTTTCTTTATCTTATTATGTTGTTTATCATTTTTATTATTAAAATGTGTGTGTGTGTGTGTGTGTGTGTGTGTGTGTGTGTGTGTGTGTGTGTGTGTGTGTGTGTGTGTGTGTGTGTGTGTGTGTGTGCATATATATTTTATTGTATTTGTTTTACATACTTGTCTTACGTGAGCTTTCTATTGTGGACAGCTAGATATAGTGTATAAAATAAATAATTGTACAGAGATGCATGTTTCCACATTGTGCATGAGACAATAAATGCTGAATTCTGAATAGGGAAACTGCTTTTTGGCACCATGGAGTTGGCTAGAAAATTTACCAACAAAAACCTGTTCCCTAAGTATTGCCCAAAAGCATTTGAATGTGAATGCTCCTCTGATGAGCTACTGCTGCCCTCTTGTGTTCTGCAGACGCTGCATCTGAATATCCAAAACCTATTACCTCAGTCAGTACAGTATTGAGTATCCAGTGGAGTATACAATATCCAACTCTAATTAAACACACCTGATCAAACTAATTGAGTCCTTCAGGCTTGTTTGAAATCTACAGGTAAAGTTTGTTCATACAGGACTTTTCTCCCCATAGACTGCCGGAAACGCAAGCTTGTGCGGCAATTTCGCAGTTTGCTGCGTTGCAATGCAAAGTTCAAGCTTGGTGAACTCTGACCTGCGAAATCGCATCACTTGACTGTGTGAGACCAATCAAGGATCAAAACATGACCTCTCTGGACAGAAATTTTAAATATAGATCAGTCGCTCACTTTTTTAAATGTCTAACCATCTTGTTTACTCCCGTCCCTTTTCACAGCACCGTACAAGAGAATTTCGCAAGCTCAAACTTTAGTGACTACGGTTGACTCAGTGACTCAGTAATCAAATTATTTGCTTTAATCTAATTAAAAGAATAATAAGACTAAGGTGTTTTCAGTGAGTTGCTTTTTGAGTGTTACTTTCATGATCCCGTACATGTTATAGCACATAATTCGATTAACGTCATTGCGTCACCGCGCTATCTCTGTGACAAACGAGATATTGGATGCAACTAAAAACTGCCGGAAGTGTTATGTTTTATTGGAAGTTCATACCGCATGCTGAATGAAAACAAAAAAACTGCATTTCACAATGCAGGTGTCTGTGGTCTGCACTGACTGGGTAGAAATGAAAAAAAAATGGGTGGAAGGAAAATATATATAAGTTTTTGTATTCTCTCGCAAAGTTTTGCGTTCCCTCACAAAAATGTTTTGCGTTCCCTCGCAAAGTTTTGCGTTATCTCGCAAAGATGTTTTGCATTCTCTCGCAAAACTGTTTCTCCACAAACACTTCCTGTTCACTTCACTCACATAAACCCTCCCGTTTTTGCCGAAATTCTCCTGTATTTTACCATTCTATCCCACTTTCTTTACATTAATACTGTGCGTCGATCGTCGCCTTTCATATGCAACCTCTGAACCAGTGAATGCATGTATAAGCGCTGACTGACAGACGCGCTCCGAACAATAAACTGATCCCAGATCAGCTTCTGTACACAAAGTAGGACAAAAACAACAAGTCAATGCGTACAGGCTTCCAGTTTTCTTCTAAATATCTTCCATTGTGTTCAACAGAAAAAAGA